GAAACTACAAATTTGCTCAGCAGAAGCGTTTTTAACCATAAAGCCTTTGTTTTAATTTCTTCAAACTGAACTCAATTCATATACACATGCATGCAGTGGATAATACACAACAACTCTTCTTCACAATAATTTATTAGAAGAATTTGTTTTGGCTGTCGTCGTGGCGTTGCAGTCGTACATTCTTAAGGTCCCTACTAACTTAATCGTTGTGACGACATTGTTGTAATTTACAACAATGTCGTCACAACGATTAAGTTAGTAGGGACCTTAAGCATGTACGACTGCAACGCGACGACGACAGCCAAAACAAATTCTTCAAATGTAAATATTATGAATAGATCCTTGTTTCGATCACAAATATATTTCTTTGATTTTGACCGCAATCACAACCCATCCCCTAACCCTGGCTTTATTGTGGGCGAAACCTGAGAATCTAACCATAAACTATTTCTTAATCTTTCTATCCCACCGTTACTCTAATATCTGTGACATAAGAACGACAATACTCAATGGTATGGAAGCTTGAATCTTTTCGCTAGACCACAATTCGACACAATATCAATGCTTTTAATTACACAACAACGATCCACTGTATCACTGTGACACTATCAAAGACCGCAAACATTACTTCAAACTATCACAAGACCACAACTATATAGTGAGTGCGGTATATGTACTATTTAAAACACAAGCTGAAAAACACGAGATCGCAGCTTGAGTGTTTTATATCTGCTAAAGCATGTACTTTTATTTGGCTTAAACGTAAAAGCCCAGTTCACATATACCTGCAGCGATATGTCGTCGGGCTATTGTCGTTATAGCAGTTCAACCAAATAATTTACAAAAGAATCAAGAATGTATGGATAAACAGCTGTAAACAATGATAGCACAGGCATACCGAAGGCATAGCTGATATTCCACTTCGCTTGAATATAATTCTTCGCCAAGTTGCCTTTCGTTTGATTTTACTGATGCGAAGTCGTTTAAGAACTGAATTCCGAACAACATGGAGCAAAACTTGCATCCAAGGACGTCAAATTAAAGCCATGCAAGTTACTTCGAAAACTACTGTAGAGTTGAGGACATTGTTTTAATGCATTCGACACATGCGTAACATAACAAAATCATGATCAATGATAAAAAAATATTCCACATGCTTCAATCTCACCGAAGCCTGTTTTATACGTCGAATTTCGGTCGCGTCGAATGCAATTCAAACAATAAATAATGAAGCTTAATGATCTCACATGATGCTTAATTAACAATGCTGGGGTTAGCATCAGCCATAATTGTGCGGAATAGGCATGCAGCATTACAGTACCTACTAACTATTTTGTGGTTCAAAATGTCTCCTACAGGAGGGAAATGCTCCATTTAGAGTTGATCTTTTATATTTATCTCACACAAAGTATTATATCGTTTTCAAAATGGCAACCAATTTGGAGTTTTTGGACAAGAATTTTCTGGTTTCTTTGGTTGAATTTTCTATCTATTTTGAATATGAGCAGTGGACAGTTTATTACAGATACTGTTGTTGTTTCAAGTGAAGATAAATTTTTAATTCAATTCAATTCAATTTATTTACCACTTCTTTCAGTTTTTTACATTGATTATTGTAATAATATTAATATTTAGATATATATTTATATTTATGTATATCAAATTGAAAGTGGCGAGAAGACCTCAGGAAGTCAAAGACTTGTATTAAGAGGCCATCTCATTGTTATTCACTGTTTTTTATCCAAAAAAAAAAGATTATTTGTTGTTTATAAAAGAAGCTCTTATTGAATTATACATGCACTAATTGTTTTCAATCAAATATTTTTTCAATTTTCTTTTGAAAGAAGAAGTGATATTTATTCCTGTTATTGATGAAGGGAGACAATTCCATATTTTCGGACCCTGATGTAGGATAGTGAATTGTTTTATGTTAGTTCGACATGCATGAGACCTATATTTGGCCGCAGCTCTAGTATTATGATCGTGAACTTGATTGCTCGAAATAAATAAGTTGTCAAAACATTCAGGTAATAAATCGCGGCTATAAATATACATAAATATACCTATACAATGAGTATTTAGTTTGAAGATATCTAATATATTTAATTTTTTGAAAAGCGGAGCAGAATGAGCACGGTAATCTGAGTTAGTCATTGCTCTAACAGCTCGCTTTTGCAAAAGATAGATTCTCTTCACATTAGTTTCATATGTTGAAGACCAGACTATATTACAATATGTTAGATAAGGGTATATTAAACTATAATATAAGGAAAGTTTTGTAACCAATGATAAGAGAAATCGCGAGCGATAGATTATTCCAACAGATTTTGATATTTTCTTACTAATATAATTTATGTGGATTTTCCATGACAAATTTTCATCTAAATATACACCTAAGAATTTTACATGCCGTTTTTGAACAAGAATTTGGTTATCATATTTGAGAGTTAAATTAAGAGTTAGTTTTTTTTGACTGGGATGAAAAATTAAATAATTTGATTTGCTTATATTTACAGATAATTTGTTTGATTTCATCCAGATATCAAGGTTTTGAAGCTCACTGTTTAGGGTTGCCTCAAGTTGCTTGATATCGGAATGTGAATAATATATACTCGTATCATCTGCAAACAAAGACGAAGTAGCTTGCTTTAAGGCTTTCTGGAGATCGTTTACATACAAAATAAAAAGAAGTGGACCCAAAATGGATCCTTGGGGAACTCCGCATGTTATTTCATAAAACTCAGAGCAAGTATCCTTAATTTGAACAAACTGTTTACGGTTTGATAAGTAACTTTTGATCCATTGCAAAGCGACACCTCGAACACCATAGTGCTCTAATTTTGAAAATAAAATTTGATGATCTAAAGTATCAAAAGCTTTAGAAAGGTCAATGAAAACACCAGCAGCTAAATGGCCCCGATCAATATCCGATGCAATATTATTGGTTAGAGAAATTAACGAATGACAAGTTGAGTGCTTTCTTCGAAATCCAAATTGAAGACTATATAAAATTTCATGTCGTTCAATATATGAAGTTAATCTATTATGCATGACTTTTTCAAAGAATTTTGAAAAGTTGCTTAAGAGTGATATAGGTCTATAGTTTGTGAAAGAGTTTTGTTCTCCTGATTTGAAAACCGGAATAACTCTAGCAATTTTTAGTTTTTCAGGAAATATTCCCATGCATAAAGACAGATTTATAATGTCAGCAAGGGGTTGAACAAGAAGATCGAAAGATTTTTTAATTACATACATCGATACATTGTCAAAACCAGGCGCTTTTCCTGTTTTAAATGAATAACAAATATCTTGTAATTCGTTCTTATTTGTAGGGCATAGAAACATTGATTCACTATAGCTTAAATCTAAAAAGGAACAAAAAGAAACATGATGTGGGATTTTACTTGCGAGCTCTGGTCCAATATTAGCAAAAAAATTACAAAACGAGTTTGCTATATCTTTTGGATCAGTTAGCGTGCAGGACCCTTTTTTAAATGATAATGGCAGTGAAGAGGATCGCGCTCGTTTATTAATAACTTCATTAATTAGCTTCCAGGTTGCCTTTTGATTATTCTTGACTGCATCAAATCTTTTCTCATAATATGCTTTTTTTGCGCCCTTGATCAAGTGGGTAAGCTTATTTTTATATTTCTTATACCGAGATTCTCGTGCGGGATTTCTTTTTGCCATGAATTGTTTGTATAATTTATTCTTTTTCCTAGTAGACACTAAAAGCGCTTTTGTCATCCATGGCGTTAGCGGTCTATTTTTATTTCTTTTAACAACCATTACTGGAAAACTGAGGTCATAAATTCTTAAAAATTCATTTAAAAAATTATTGTACATAATATTCGGATCGTTATCAGAATAATTTGACCAACCTACATTGGTAAGGTGGGTGCGAAATGTAGCTATATTTTTTTCGCTATAGTCACGTGTAACTGTATGATTATTTCGATTTTCATGTACAGGAGAAGACTCTGTGAAAGTATAAACAAATACTGGTAAATGATCAGAAAGATCGTTTAAAATAATGCCGCTAAATAATTGAGGCGATAAATTATTCGTAAAAATGTTGTCAATAAGTGTTGCCGAGTGCGCAGTGATGCGAGTTGGTCTATTTATAAGTGGATAGAACATGTGGGAGAAAAGGCTATCAACAAATTCTTGTGTAGGAGAATGTTCATTCAAGTGGAACATATCTATGTTGTAATCGCCTATTATATAACATTCCTTGTTGGATTTAGAGATGTTAAATAAAATTTGATTGAATTGTTCTAAAAATAACACCAAGTTATGGTTTGGCGGTCGATATACTGTTCCTATTATGACATTTTTCCCATTGGGAACTGTGATTTCAACAAACAATGACTCGATTAGGTTAGGGTCAGAAAAGATGCAGTTTGTTAGCAGTCTGTGTTCGCAATCACTTTGTAAATATAAGCCAACTCCACCTCCGACTTTTTTAGTCCTGTGATTAGATAAAAATTTATAACCCGAAATATCAACAAGGTCCTGCGTAGTATCACTTAGCCAGGTTTCAGATATACCTATAGCAGAGAAAGAGTGAGGCATATTTTCTAATAACGATTTTATATCATCTAGTTTATTAAACAAACTAAGTGCATTTATGTGTAAAACAGAAAAAGAAGGCACTACATCTTGTTTCGATTTAAAAGTCGCATTGATATCATCATGAGCCATATAACTACTGGAGCAATGAACTGGAAAATTTTTGTCTGGATCTAAATTATCTAGCAAATTGTCAAAATAAGACTGGTTTGTAATTGGATTAAATAACAGCGTATCTAGCCGGTCAGAATCATAATGCAAGGAGCCGTGAGCTAATTCGGACATTGCCGCGTTAAAAGAACTATCATCTAAACGGCAAAAGGGAAGGGCTGCTAAGAAATTTTCATGACCATCATCATAATTATTGCTTATATTAGCCATGATAAAAGTATACTATTACTTATCTTAAGATATAGACATATATCGTTTTACTCGGTCAGTTTCGCCAGGTCTTGTGAGCATCGAATCTGGATATGATTACTATCTTCAGCCTTCCTCAGAAAAATAGTAAAATTTTTCACCCAACAGAACTTGTAATTATGCTGATTCTGGAATCGTTTCGCTTCATTGAAAAGAACTTGTGTCTTCGGTGTAAGATGTTCCACAATCATAATGCGATTTGGAGAAGCGTCTGGGTTAGATTGGAGACCAATAGTTTCGGCTCTTACGTTCGTTGCTTCTTTTCTTGCTGCAATGATTTTATTTCTGACAAGCCTACGAGTAAATTTGCAAATAATAGGTCTCGGTCCAGCGCTGGCATTTCTCATGGGGATTCGATGTGCAATGTCAATGTCGTAAGCGTTCACTTCGACACCCATCTCTTTGAACAAGCGAATGCATAAGTCGGTTGAAACGTCCGCCGTTTCTCTTCCGTGGCCACTCTCCGGAAGGCCAAGGATTTTCAGATTATATTGGTAACTGTACTTTTGCATTTCGTCTACGGCTATAGCAATTTCATTCGAGCGACTATATAGGTCATCAAGGCGTTCATTGAAGCGTTTAAATTCTTTCTCCGCAAATGCACGAAACGGCTTCAGATCATCGTACGCATCACTGAGATAGTCAAGGCTTTTAACTATATCACTATTAGTTGATGGCGAAGTTGTGGCCATTTTAGAGGGCATGTCTCGAAACTTTTTTAGTATTGATTCTTGAAAATGCTTGAGGTCTACTTTCAATCCAATAACTTGTTTCTTCAATTCATCATTTTCTATCTTGAGAGACTTAACCGTATCTGGCATACTCACAATTATTTAATCAAAATACGGAGCAAAATTAGCACGTCTTTACTCCACAAAATTAGCATGTATTTCCACAAAATTAGCACGAAACTAGCACGAAATTCACCGAAACATAGTCGTACATTGCTGACAATTATTATTGGAAATCACACTGGCTGTGCTAGGCAGGTGTAATAATTTTCAAAATTTCACACAATTTTTTGTTGTTCTCATTGAACGAATTTCGGGACTTCTAAAATTCAAAAGGACATGCGCATCTTGGAGCACGATTTCCTAAGCAACTGACATGAATATAAACACACTGAATTTCAAACGCATGGGTTTCAGTAACATAAACTATAATTAAAAAATCAGGTATGAAATTTGACCGAATATCCCCAATGGCAAAGTCTTGGCCGTGGCCTTGATGGTGGGTAAATTATTTGGTCTGATCAGGTTTTGTTTTCAAAATAACAGTCAATAGATATTTTTGACTATTCAATAAATAAGTAACAGGTCTGTAAATCGCATCACAGCTATACTTTGAGCCGTATTCAGTTAAATATATATAGTTCACTGATTTCAATTACCTGCATGTGTATAATTATTAGTTATGTGGTATGGAATTCTCTTATGCATGCAGTCATATCTTGCAAATGTTATTTTTAGCATACCAAAACAAAATGAGAAACGTTGAAGGGCCGTCAGGTGAAGGCGGAACAAGGGAACGTCCAATTTTAATTGAAGAATCTCCACTGAAGAAAGCTGCATCAAACGACGGAAGGCATGCACTTCCTGCCATACTACGATGTAAGAAGAAACTGATTGTCCACAAGTCAACAAATTACGGTGTAAGCAATCCTATTCCTGTTTCACCGCCATTGAAACCATTAAAAGTGGAGATGCGAGATTCCAATTCGTCCAGCAGCTCATCCGATGAGGAGGGTACAGAATCTAGTGAAGAAGATTTGTCTATTCTTCCCGAATTCCATCATGATGACGAACAAATTCCGGTTTTTGGGAAGCCAAAAAAGGCATACTATGCATCCGATATCCTACGCATTTTGTCCACCCACCACCCAAACAATGTAAAGTGTACACAACAGCCCATGCGAGTTCAATACAACGGATCATTTTTATTAGATGTGACTTTTATACCAATAATAATAATAATAATAATAATAATAATAACAGTCTTTATTCATACTCAAGAACACCCGTCTGTGAGTTTACATTATAAAAATATATAAGATAAAATTATTGATATCTATAAGGTAATAACTAGATATATACAGTTATGGACAAAAATATTAATAATGTTAAAAAGGTAAAGGTTAAAATTGGTTAAACAAAGTTAAACAAACATCGATTTACAAAAGAACTTTTAAATCGCTCTGTTCTCACTAATGGAAGTTCAAACTCGTGTCCCCTTGGCCTAAGGTGTCTATTTAATTTATCTGGTAAAAGCTCCTGTAGTGCATTATCTTTATTATGTATTACTTTATCCCAAAGTTTCTTGTCCCTTTTGATGCTTATCTCCTCAATATTCAATTTTTCCGATATGTAACCATTTCTGTGAGCGCGATTGATGAATTTGTCTATTTGACTAATGTATTTATTGAAGTATGCGCCTCCCCAAAGTTCTATGCCGTAAGTGATTATAGGCATAATTAAAGTGTTAAACAGCATGTCCAGTTGTTTGATTGGGAAGCCATAGTATTTACAGACACGCATTATGTACATTCTTGCACTGGCTTTTTTCAACATTTCATCAAAATGCAAATCCCACTTGGAAGGGAGATCCTGTAATGTAATTCCTAAAATCTTTAACCACGTCCTTCTTTTAATAAATGGAAAAGGATCGGGCAACAGCGTAGGGATATTTCTCCTAACAATCATTTCATACGTCTTTTCCATATTTAAGGACATTCGAGTTATTTTCAGACCATGTTTGTATACTGTCCACTTCGGCTTGGGATGTATCTCCGTTTTCATTCCTGGTACTTCTAATGTCATGTCATCCGCGAACTTAACTAACTGGTTTATGGGGTTAACTGTTTTGATGTCATTCACCATGATCGAAAAGAGGACAGGACCCAGAACTGTTCCTTGGGGAACACCTCGATTAATGTTCAAGTATTCAGTTTCTATTCCATCAACCACTACCCTCTGTTTCCTATCCTCCAGAAAACTAATCAGCCAGAAAACTAATCAGCCAGATGGCAACGGTTGCTATGTGAACAATGGACACAGCACTCACACATACAAACGAAAGAAATCCGGTAATTGGAAGAAGAAATCATCTCATCACAAAGATCCCCTGCAAAGAGACGAATTTCATTTGGAGCGACACTTTTAACGACTGAAAGAATATCCAGAATTCCGCCAAACGGTGTCATATCTTCACGACCAACGAGGAAACATTGTTGACAATGTAGCGATTGTACAATATATTTTCAAAGGAAACGAACACGAAATTAAGCTTTTCCCACATGGAAATGCGAAGGAATCCAAACCTTTGAAAAAACGCACTTGAAAAAATATCATCCAAACGAGGCTTTGGCCAAAACTCGCAAAGAAATGGGTGGTTGTTTTTCTAATGCATCAGAAGCTAGTTTACCACGAGGCCAATCACAGGCACACAACTTAAAATGCACTAATAGAAACAGCACAATAGTTTCCAGCGCAAAAAAATCAAAAGATGAAATGACTGCGCTAAATTGGTATGCAAAAACAGATGGAAAAAATTTTGTACGAATGCAAGAGATTTCAGATGAACCTCTGATAATGATAGCGACCGACAACCAGTTAGATGACTTGGTGCGATTTTGTACCAGCGAGATTGACTTTAGTTGCTTGTCAGTTGACCCAACATTCAACTTCAGAAATTTCAGTGTGACACCAACATCCTATCGAAACCTGCTTTTAAAATCTTGTAAAACTGGGAAAAGCCCCTGTCTTTATCGGACCGATATTTATACACCACACAAAACAGCGAGCAACATACAAACAGTTTTTTGATAAACTGACGAGTATACGAGGGCAGTTAAGTAACGTAATTTGCTACGGAACTGATGGGGAAAAAGCTCTGAGTGACGCTCTAGCCGAAGCATTTCCTTTGGGCATTCATCTTCGTTGCTTTCGTCATTTTCACGGTAATTTTCTGTCATTTTTAACGAACTTAAAAATTGGCGAGACCCGTTCATACTTCGAAGAAGTGTTTGGAAAACAGGAAGGGGATGTATATCAAGAAGGATTGGTTGATGCTGCTTCTGAGGAAGAGTTTGACGCAAGACTATTGTTGTTAAGGGAGTCATGGGCGAAACGTGAAAAATGTGCAGTAGAAAACTGCCAAGTCTACCAATGGATGGAAGAACGTTCGCTAATGGTAAAATCGTGTATGATTGCCAGTGTTCGCACTAAGGCTGGCCTGGGGAATCCGCCAATGAAGTTCTACACCAATGATAGGGAGAACACTAACCGACGCTTGCGCAATAAAACCAACGGGCGTGAGCAAGGGGAAACATCATTCATTCGCGACATGAAGGAGTTGATAGAGGACAGCTGATAGTCGACAAATTACAGTGTAAGCAATCCTATTCCTGTTTCACCGCCATTGAAACCCTTAAAAGTGGAGAAACAGAAGTTGTGCTGGCCATGTATGGAGCGTCAGAAGTTTACGAAGTTCGAGAATCCTTTCGCAAGTTCGACCTGCAAAGGGAGGAGTGTTTCCAAATGAACGAAGATCAACGGAGGAAATACATCAGGGATATTTATTCCAAATGTATGGAGGAACTTTATGCAGCAAAGAACAACACATCTATTTATGCTGAGAAAAGCGACAGACACCGAGAATGAGGAACAGAAAAACAAGGACTCTCTGTGGAAAGTTCGTTGCTGTCAAAATTATTCGACGATTACTTTTTGCAGTGTGTCTGGAAAAAAGACAAGCGATTGGTGTCAAAGCCAGAGCATATTCTGCTAGCACCAAGTAAAGATCCCCAAATTAAAGCGTTTTCTGCGGTGTCAGAATCATCTAATATACCCAACTACGTTCAAGTTCACAGTACTGCAAAAGTCACATGTACATGTAAGCTGTTTCCCCCCCCCCCAAAAGATTTGTGCTCATAGCGTTGCTGTAGCCGAAAAAGAAGGCACCCTACAACAGTTTGTCGATTGGCTTGTGAAAACGAACTGTTCAAGTAACGTTTCACTCACTGCAACCATGAACTTGAATGCAAGTCGGTCGGGTAGGAAAGGCGGTAATTCGAAAAGGAAACGTCACGCTCCAGCGCCTGTTACAGCCGTCATCGATCCTTTCTCCAGGGTAGTCACCCCGTCGATACAACCCATGAGCCGCCAACCTGTTTCTAATCCCTCACAGCAACCGATTCCAAGTGCATCTTCAGCCTCACCTGTACAGTTGCCCAATCCCTTAAGCCAAAACTGTGTGGTGCTTCAGACACCTTGGCTGGAAAATACATTTCAGGGGAACGGGTTTGTACAAAACAACCAATCGCGACAGGCAATTTAGCAGCCATATTTAAGTCGGAGCGAAACACGTTCTTCGTGCTCTGCGACAGTGTCAGGTAATATTCATCGAAACCCGGCAAATCCTGTACCTCCTGGAATCCCATTACCCCCAAAGCCACCTGTGCCAGAATCCAATAACCCATATTTCCTCGCACAAATTAGAGGAAACATTGCAAAGTGTACAGGATGCAATGATGCATTCAAGGGGGCTCGTCCTTTGCCTCCTCCAGATGACAATTTTATTATTGGAAGAAAAGAGAAGGATTGGTTTCCGTACACACAACCAAACGGAGAAAAGTACTGGAAGTTAGGAAGGGAACAAAATCGATACTACCACCTCAGCCGAGCTTGTATATGTGCTCGTCACCCTTATTTTAACCCAATCCAACTACATGGCTTGATTTCGACGTGTTCAAGCTTAATAACTCTAACACCGGAACTAATTGCAGCAGTAAGAATGAGGTTTAGCCAATTCTAACTATGAATATCAGGCCTGTTTCCAACGCGTACTTTCATGTGCTAAACTTAATGATGATGAATTAGGTACGACATATGAATCAATGGACCTATTCCCCAATGAACAAAATTTTGATCTAGATAAAGCTTGACAAAAAATTTATGTTTTAGTTTGCCGTTTTTCAGTCATTTTGTATTACGCACGGTAAATTGATACCTTTTTTCAGAAAGCGGTATCAATTTCCCGTGCGTAAAACAAATGACTGAAAAACGGCAAACTTCGCAGTGCTATGTTATCCGCATTATACAACATTTCGCAACGAAACTTCGGAATATTACTAATTTTGTGATGGTCTTTCAAGCAGTGATAAAATTTCTGCCTACATTTGTCTAGATCAAAATTTTGTTCATTGGGCAATAGGTCCATTAAGTACGGCAGAATTTGGAGCGGAAAAAGTTCGACACAAGTTCGGTAGAGCCTGTCGCATTATGCAACATTGGAGCGATATTGATTAACATACGCCGCTCCACCTAAAACATAACTCAACTTTTTTGTAATTGTTTGGTATTAGATTAGCCATCCTGTAATTCAAAATTTGACTTGTTTGTTTTGAAATTTATTTACAATTATCGCATGAATGTGCCCCTCCTTGTCAAAAACATTATATATCGTGCATGATTAAAATTATATATCGTGCATGATCACAAGTACCAGAATGCTTCGTGAGGATGGTGATAGAAAAAATGCAAATACAAGTTATCTGTTATATATCTGTTAATAGTTATGCTTCTACAGTATAAGGCACATTCAGCAGTTTTTAAAGTCTAATTACCCCTCCCCCCTATAGTATATTACAATGCTTAAACATTTTCTGGGGGGCAATCCGGACTCCCCCGCCCATTTTCCCAACCGCTACGATTTTAAAGATGTTATTATTGCAATGATAATGAGAACATTGAACTGAGGTAACAAGTACATTTTTGACGTTGAAGGTGTTTTCGTATTCGGTCTCTTGGATGTTTTGGTATTTCGGTCTGGTTTTTTGGATAACTTAGGGTTACTTTTAGATAAGATGTTAGGTTTACTTTAAATCGCCGGCTAACGTATTAAAGTCATTAAAGTGTTGTGTTCCATGTAAATCTCAATATGAATCGCTGAATTAGCTAGAATAAGTTAGCAAATTTACAACATACATGGACCATGGTTTAATTGTAGGCAATGTAGCTAAATATTACTTTGATGCAATATATATATATCACCTCAATTTTCATTAAATATTAATATAATTGCTGCCGTAGGCAGCACACTAATCTCGACGACTGTTTTTGATGTCATGACTCGTGCCAGTTTCCTTGACCGAGTTATAACGATGCAGCTTGAATCAAAATATAGAAGAAATTCGGATTTCTGTCAGTCGGTAATTGCTCGTAAGTTGCCATAAAGCTCTCGCTCTGTGCTTTCCGTCATCACAGGCACAGCCGGTATATAACTATTAACTCAACCACGAAGAAAAACATCGAAATGACGTATAGTGTTGTATAGTGTCGTATAACGTGGTATAGTCTTGTTTGTACTATTTACAACATGAGCGGCTGTGTTCTATCGGATATACAAACTCGAGCCTAAGGCGAGAAAATGCTCTAAATTTCCATTTTTCGCTCAGACACTGCTTTTGCTAAAATAATTTCTGTTTTAGCAACCAGGCAGCAAGTAACTAAAGGAAACTTTAATTGCAATGCCTAAAACACCTAGTAAATCCGACAAAAAACATGCATAAACACCTAGTATAAATCAATATCCGACACAAAGTTCATATTAATTTGTTCGACAAGCGTTATATGTCTTGCGTATAAGCCGTAATTTTAGCTGCTTTGAATTGATTTCTGCTCTACTTCATCAAGTTATAAATTCGTTTCAGAACAGTAGCGAATGACAAATACACGGCACAACAAATCATGTTGGCTTTGGTGAATTTATATAAAACAGTTTAATACAAAACAAGACGCCTGGTCAAGGCATTCACACTGGCCTCAAAAAATTGCATCGTGATTTATTGTGCCGTGTATTTATTTCAAAACAAAGTAAGGCAATCCCGACAATATTAATCTTTAAGTGGAACTTTCCGCCCAGTGGAATGTCATTCGCTACTGTTCTGAAACGAATTTATAACTTGATCAAGTAGAGCAGAAATCAATTCAAAGCAGCTAAAATTACGGCTTATACGAAAGACATATATCGCTTGTTGAACAGACTAATATGAACTTTGTGTCGGATTACTAGGTGTTTATGCATGTTTTTGTCGGATTTACTAGGTGTTCTACGCATTGTGATTAACATTCCTTTAGTTACTTGCCACCTGGCCATATCCTGCCGCGTTCTTGACTTTAGTTCGAAGGCATAATATGAAGAATTTCGGTTAATTATTCAGTTGGGCATTTGATTGCTAACACGCGTTTTGCTAAAACAGAAATTATTTTAGCAAAAGCAGTGTCTGAGCGAAAAATGGAAATTTAGAGCATTTTTCTACCCACGACTTTACGCACGACTTTTTACCCACGACACACGACCAAAACTCAAACTCGCCTGGTTGTTACACTATTGATTCAAAATGCATTCTCAAACTAAAAGCTAACCTTGGCAATAATATATTAATATTAGTTATTATATTTATTAATATTTATATTAATATTGTTATTATTTAAGATATTAAAAATAATATCTTGATAATAACATATTTTGCGGTTATATGATAAGATTCCAAGATTCCAGATTCCATGTTTTACAGCTCACCGGTCTATAACGAAACAATCTGCACATGAATATTTTTAATAATTAAGCTGCAATACATCCAAATTTATTCATTTATTTTGTCTACCACCAGACTTGTCTTAGCTTGTGCTTTAATAATATGTTAGGAGCACTATATAAATACTTTGACCATAGTGTTCTTGTTTTTGAGGCTATATATAGACTATATTGGACATTAAGTATTAGTTTCTGATTGCATTCAATTGGTTATATTGGTAATATTTAGCTATTAATTGGTTATTGTTTTTAAGGATGATGACTCTATTGATACTGAAATTCAAAAAACCACATATCCCAGGCTGATTGGTTCTGGCGAATTGGGAGACATAAACCCACTTGTCATCGCTGCAGAAGGGAATGTTTTTATCAACGTGTTGAAGTTGATGATCCCCAAGGCTGTGTCGCTCCTGGTGGGAATCTTTTATGTACTCAATATGCGATATACACCAAGAGCAACAAATATTTATGCCTTTATTGAGGCTATCCTTATGGAGAAGGGCCAAGATGCCCGAAAATGGGTTCTGTACAAAAGTTTATAAAGGAACTTGATCTAGCTTGATTTTAAAAAGTGAAAATATGTGACTGTTTTTATATTTATTTATATATTGTAACTATTTAACTGTTTTTGTATTTTTTAACTGTAACTCTAACTTAATATATTTATCTTTTTTACCTAATTCATGTGCCATGCATGTTAATTCTTGCAAAGTGTGATATATTACTGTTCTAAGAACTGTAGATTAGATGGTAGTAGGTAAGAATACTCTACG